GTACGAACAAAAGTAAGAGAAATTTAGGATAAGAATACGAACATGTTCTTGCATGAGGCCCATTCACTCTAAACTCACTTACTCCTCTGGCTAATAAATGCGCTCTTGCTTGTAGAAGGTTTTTTTTTGTAAACACCATAATGTGTAACATATTTCGTTGATATAAAATAATCTTTTTTTTTCTCATCTAACCTTCTGTTGTATTTCGTTTTTTCTTTTTGAAGGTAGCGCGAGCCCTGCTGGTTGCCGCATGAACTGACCACCTGTTCTCCCATGTTTTTGTCATGTGTGTGTCTTCTTGAATGGGTGTTCTTAAATGAAATTTCATTGTGCTCCGTACAATGACAATAAAGGCATCATCATCATCATCATCATTTGATTTACTACCTTTTAATACTTTTTACAACCCCGCGGACACCCTGGAAAATTTGAAAAGTCAAAATTGTGATAATTACAAGCAGCACTCACCTCTTGACCCAGGGGTCGGGCACAGATGGGACAAGGTTCTGGGTTCAGTCCTCCAGTGGACTTGTCCTGGGACTAAACACAGACATGTGTTATTTGGACATAGACTGTGCTCCACAGTTTAAGACCATTTCTATGAATGACTGAGGAGTTGTGATGCAGTTTATGTAGTCTGCCTAATATAAAGTCACCTTCTCCAGATTAGTTAAATACAGAAACTGTCCTAGCTTCTTCTGCAGTTGAGACTTGGCCACAGCCTGATCATTTAGGAGTTTTACTCTGTTCTGCTCCACCTGCGAGCCAAAACACACAACAAGAAAAAAATTAAAACCAAATATTACATTCATGAAAAACTTTAATTAAAACATCAAATGAACTTATGAAATTAAATCTGTAAGCAATGTAAATTTGGAGTGGGGGGTATTTTCTAGGCATATAATTAAATTCTATACTACAAGTCAGTATGGTACCTTCAGTTGTTATGAAAATGCTATATACTGTATATCAAAAACACATTTGACTTTACATCATCGCCTATTTCAAAACTGGCCTCCATCTTTTTAAGAACCTCCTACTGTTTGCAACACTCCCACTTCAGCACGCCTTGCACAACAATGCTTCGGGGGAGGGGTGCTCGGTGGGGCAGTTGCTCGGCTGGAAACTGAGCCCCAGGGAGGAGCTAGGTATAAACAGGCAGTGCTATGTACCAGCAAGTGTTAAGGCAGCTCCAAATGGCTACCAAGGATTTCTCAATCATGCTTAAATGAGTCAAAGCAACACTCTGGGTAAGTTTTTGAAGAGGGAATGATATTATAGCATGACATAAAGCTCAAAAAAGTCAATTTTGCATGATACTCCCCATTTAAAGAAGCTGTGCTGGAGCACTCTCTATGTGACCTCAGGCATACACTGATTTTAAATTATTAAATAAACTCAGATTCCATTTTTAAGGATATATACTGTAAAATATGTTGAAGTACAATTTGAATGTTAATAATCATTAATCATTAATAATAAAAATATATATTATTTGAAAAACCCACTTCATGTGGCTCTATGATATGCAGCAGTTTGGGCTTCGGCTCATCGGGCAGACGAACTCGCAGTCTCTCGGTGGCCATGCCCAGCTCATCGATGGCTGACACGTGGTTACGCAGCACCATCCAATACTCATGCAGCACCTGGGACAAGTTAAACACAGATTAAATCTACTTTTATTAGTAAAATGGAAAGCAAAATGTACACTGGGTCTCATGCAAGAACCGTTCGTACGAACAGATGTGTTTTTAAGTTTTGCGTATGAGTAATTTAGGAGAACTTGTGGCATTAACTAATTTTGCGGTGAGAAACTGCTCTTCTTCTGAATAAATGAAAACTATGTAACACAGTTACACAGTTCTACTGTTTTACAGACGGATCCTTTATAACGGGGCCAGTAGGTGCAGGGGTGCTGATTCTGCACAACCACAGTGAAAGAGAGTACAGTTACCCACTAGGTGGTTTTGTAAAGGTATCTCAAGCTGAGATACATGCAATCCACCAATGTGCGGCATCTCTCAAAGAACTGCAGTGTATGCAGAAGGAAATATTCATCCTGACAGACTAGCCAAGCTGCTATTAGAGCTCTCCAAGGGCCACACTTTACATCACTACTGGCTTGGTAGTGTGCTGAGGCAGTCAACCAACTGGGGAGAGTTAACTGTGTTAATATTAAATGGGTACCAGGACATACTGGCATCTATGGTAACGAGAGAGCTGACTACCTTGCAAGAGCTGGCAGTCAGGCTCACTTCAAAGGACCAGAGCCTGCTATAGGCATTTCAACAACAATCTGTAGGACTGCCCTACAGGCATGGATCAGACGTCAACACTCAATCTGCTGGAGGGAGCTTACGGATTACAGACAGGCACGAGAATTGATTAACGGCCCAAATCCTTGGTTTGGAAGAGCCCTTCTTGCCCTGACAAGGAAAACCTTAAGTACTTTGGTTGGAGTCCTAACTGAGCACAACTTGCTCAACCGCCATAAAATGGTGATGGGACTCCATGAAAATGGTCTGTGCGGTGCCTGTGGCACTGAATTAGCGACCTCTTTGCACTACTTGGGCCAATGCTTGGCCCTGAGTAGTCGAAGGGAAAGAATTCTTGGAGAACCTTTTATGGATCCCGAGAAACTTAGAACACTGAGTGTTTCTCCCCTGGTGTCCTTCTTTCGAGGGATGCGAAGGTTTGATTGAGAGCTCAGTGTCTCTTTTGGGGAGAGTAATGGGTCCACTTACGAGGCCTCCGCTCACATGGGTTTCATCCATCTCCATGTACCATAACCATTACCATAACCATGTAACACAGATGTTTACACTTAAATTAAAAAATATTTGACCAAAGGAAAACCTCCTTTCCTTGGGCTGCAACCTTCTCGTGGTGGAGAGGTTTGAGTGTCCCAATGATCCTAGGAGCTATTTTGTAGTAGGGTCACCCAAGGCAAACAGGTCCTACGTCCTAGTGTTTTTTTTTATTACTGAACTTGTGCCATATTTTTCTCCCCCACATTCATTATGTTTTATGTATTATTGTATATTTTGCCCTGCATTGACCTTGCGTTTGAGTTACAATTTTAGAAATTAATTTTTGATTTGATGTTTCAATTTCCGTTGCTTATGTTTAATTATGTTTTCTGGTTCATTTTATTCTTTCCACCATTTTTATACTGTTAATGATTGAACATCACCTTGTGAATATACTTCTGTGAACGGCGCTTTATAAATAAAACTACTTACTTACTTACTAGGTGAGGGATCAGACAAAGTGCAGCCCAAATACCCCAATGATGAATGGATTCAGTGTTCCCATGCCCGGACGCGAGTCACCGGGGCCCCACTCTGGAGCCTGGCCTGGAGGTGGGGCACGTTGGCGAGCGCCTGGTGGCTGGGCTTTTGCCAATGGAGCCCAGTTGGGCACAGCCCGAAGAGGAGAGGTGGGTCCCCCTTCCCATGGGCTCACCACCTGTGGGAGAGGCCGTAAGGGTGGGGTGCAATGTGTTTTGGGCAGTGGTCAAAGGAGAGGACCTTGGCGGTCCGATCCTCGGCTACAGAAGCTGGCTCTAGGGACGTGGAATGTCACCTCTCTGGTGGGGAAGGAGCCTGAGCTGGTGTGTGAGGTTGAGAGGTTCCGAATAGATATAGTTGGACTCATCTTGACGCACTGCTCTGGCTCTGGAACCAGTCTCCTCGAGAGGGGTTGGACACTCTTCCACTCTGGAGTTGCCCATGCTGAGAGGCGCCAAGCAGGACTGGGCATACTTATTGCCTCCCATCGAGGTGCCTGTGCGTTGGAGTTCACCCTAGTGAATGAGAGGGTAGCTTACCTTTGTCTACGGGTGGGGGGATGGGTCTTGACTGTTGTTTGTGACTAAGTGCCTAACAGCAGTTCAAGCATAAGGGTGTTCATATGTGCTCTTGGCACCAGGACATCCTGGGCCGCAGTTTGATGATCGACTTTGTTGTCGTTTCATCTGATCTGTTGCCGCATGTTTTGGACACTCGGGTGAAGAGAGGGGCAGAGCTGTCAACTGACCACTACCTGGTGGTGAGTTGGCTCTGTTGGTGGAGAAGGATGCCGGTCAGACCTGGCAGACTCAAACGTATAGTGAGGGTCTGCTGGGAATGTCTGTCAGACTCTCCCATCGGAGCTTCAACTCACACCTCCGGGGGAACTTTGAACACGTTCCAGGGGAGGTGGGAGACATTTGTCAAGGCAGCTTACATGAGCTCTGGCCGTAAGGTTGTCGGTGCCTGTTGTGGCGCCAACCCTTGAACCCGCTGGTGGACATCGGCGGTGAGGGATGCTGTCAAGCTGAAGAAGGATTCCTATCGGATCTTTTTGGCCTGTGGGACTCCGGAAGCAGCCGATAGGTATCGGCAGTCCAAGCGGATTGCAGCTCGGGTGGTCGCTGAGGCAAAAACTCGGGTGTGGGAGGGGTTTGGAGGAGCCATGGAAAAAGACTTCCGTACAGCTTTGAAGCGATTCTGGTCCACCATACGGCGTCTCAGGGGGGTAGAAGCGGTTCGCCACCAACACTTTTTATGGTGGGGATGGTGCGCTGCTGACCTCAACTCGGGACGTTGTGGGTTGGGTGGGAGGAATACTTCGAAGACCTCCTCAATCGTAGCGACACATCTTCCCATGAGGAAGCAGAGCCTGAGGACCCTGGGTTGGACTCTCCAATCTCTGGTGCCGATGTCACAGAGGTGGATAAAAAGCTCCTCGGTGGCAATGCGCCAGGGGTGGATGAGATTCGTACGGAGTTCATTAAGGCTCTGGATGTCATGTGGTTGCGTTGGTTGACGCGACTCTACAATATCGCATGGAAATCGTGGACAGCTCCCCTGGATTTGCAGACCGCAGTGGTGGTCCCCCTATTTAAAAATGGGGACCGCAGAGTGTGTTCCAACTATAGGGGGTCACACTTCTAAGCCTCCCTGGTAAGGTCTATTCAGGGGTCCTGGAGAGGAGGGTCCATCAGATAGCCGAATCTCGGATTCAGGAAGAGCAGTGGGGTTTTTGTCCTGGTCATGGACAAGCGGACCAGCTCTACACCCTCAGCAGGGTCCTGGAGGGTGCATGGGAGTTCGCCCAAACAGTCTACATGTGTTTTGTGGACTTGGAGAAGGTTTTCAACTGTGTCCCTCAGGGAGTATGGAGTACCAGACCCATTGATACGGGCTGTTAGGTCCCTGTATGACTGGTGCCAGAGCTTGGTCCGCATTGCAGGTAGTAAGTCAGACTCGTTTCCGGTGAGAGTTGGACTCCACCAAGGTTGCCCTTTGCCACTGATTCTTAGTGCTGGGCGGTATACCGTTTTGTACCAAATACCGGTTTTTATTTTTGTTATGATATGAATTTTTTGAATACCGGACATTCCGGTTTAAATAGCGGAACGTTTCGTCGCGGCCACCAGTGAAGTGTTGTTTCCCGGGGGACATTTTTCCTTGCTGCACTGCTATGTGCATTAGCATGCTAATGTTTGGAGCAGCTAGTTGCAGCAGCAGGTTGCAATTCCGCTGCTTATATTGACTGACGTTTAAAAAAAACATCCCGTTTTCGCCGTGGCTGAATGTAGTAAACACCTCTTCAGTGACGTGCACAGTTAGATTTAACGCGGTTAGTTAATATGGAGACGTTATGCTGATGGAGACTTAACGTGCTTCTATTGTGAAAAGCCCACAGGAAGTAGTTCGTAGTGGAGTTGGAATTGACTGGTGTGCAAGGTGAGTCGTGCTGATAAGCTTTAATAAATAACATTAAATAGACCCGATC